ATAGAAATATTTTTAAACTACAGTATTTATCCTTGTGTTGCTCTTGTTGCCAGGGTGGTTTAATGGCCTTTAGACTAATTTCAAATATTTGTCAAAGTCTAAAAATAAGCACATAATAATAGGCAAAAGCTTCTTTTGTTTGGTTTGCTTCAATCAATGAGAGTCCGTGCTATTTTTGTTAACATTTGTGGTGCTTGACGAGTGACTCATTGTTCTATTAAGAGATTTTCACTCACAGAACCTGTATTTCTACATATTTTCATTGGGTAACCAAGTAAGTGGATGTAAACGTGTTTGCCTGTGCGTTTTTATTTATGTAACCAGTGTAGCTAGGAGCAGCTATTTCTAATAACAGCATTCACATTTTAAAATGGAGTTGATTGTTTTTTTATGTCCATCTATAAAAACACAATCAGTAATGAATATTTAAACCGACATAGACCTGAAAAGTTTAATCAAAAGTAAAAACTTTGCAGCTATGCATTTATTGTCTGATTTTTGTTTTCTACTCTTGAATTCATGCTTGAGAGATTACTTTTTATTTTTAGGTTAAAGAATGGCAGGTTTTGAACATGTTTTTAATATTTAACATCTAATTCAAACTTGTTACAAGCTAAAAATGGCAAATGCTAAATTTGCTAATAAGTTTTAGGATTTCTGTTTATAAAATCAGTTTTTTTGGACAATGTCATCAATTTTTTTTAACCTAGCTTTTAAAAGCAACTTTTTACCGATAGATTACAAAAAATAGCATACGGTAAATATTTCAACTATATGTTTTAATAAATCCATAATATTCAATTAAAAAATAAATCTAATTATCTTTAAAAACTTGGATTCAAGAGTTATCATACCATTCAAACACATGAGTGTTGTTCCTGCTTTATCCTATTTGGACAAATATGCAAGTTATTGAGATTATGCTGGAGTATTTTGTGCATATTTGTTTTATCTATTGGTTCTTTTTTAATACAAACTGAATAAAATGTTTTACTTGCTCTCTGTGTTCACCCTACCCACAGAAAACATTTTTTCAATGTGTCAAATGTTAAAACATCTTTGAAAGACTAACACTCTTTTCTCTCAAACATTGTTCCATGCATTCATCTCTTTTCCTTTTATCTTTTTCCTGTTCTATACTCTAGAGACTCATTAGCCACTTTAAAATCTTGCTTCTCGATCTGAAGAGAGAATTACTTTGGGAATATTTTAACTAATAACTTAAATCTTACGTAACTTCCTTGTTAAAACATCTGTTGCTTGATTTTTTAAGGAAAATTCGTTTTTCCTTGAAGCAGCTCTATGGCATACATTTGAGGCGTTTTTGTTTATGGCTGACAAGGAAAAAAAGGTTAAAAAGTGTAAAAATGGAACACAAAAAACTCATAGTGATTATATATGCATATTAACATGATCATGTTGGTGGCACCTCCAAGGTGAACATGCCCCCAGCCTATGAATACCTCATATGTGCAACTGGATAACCTTTGCTCCAGTAAGAGTTTATGGCAATTGTTAGAAAAAAAATCACATCAGAATAGAAAAACATAAATATATTGTCAGGAAATTTCATTACAATAAAAAAATGGTTTGAAAAAGAAAAAAATATACAGTGTCCTATACTGTTTTGTCAACTTGTTTCCTAACTATCAGTTTACCATTTGTTAAGAGAATACTGTAAATGTTTTTCACTTTAGGCAAACATATGATTTACGCTTTGCTTAAACTTTTTTTTTCTTACCTCTAAGCAGAAGGAAGTGGTGGTTCTAGACCAAATTTATCCCGTGTGCTGGGGTGTTGTCAGTGTTTTTTCACAGCAAAAGAATAAAACAAAAAACAGGGCAAAAGTTCATTGTTTAGGTTAACCAAAGCAGCTCTAGAAACACGAAGCTATAACTGTGACAGCTCTAGAAACATGAAGCTATAACTGAGACAACTTATATTTAAAATCCTAAATAAATAAATAAAAATCTAAATATAAAAAAAATGAAATTGACATTCACAAACAACTACAGGTGCTTGGCTCCAGGTACTTAGAGATTCACTTCCATACAGAAAGCCCATTTTCTTATCTTCTGCTACCATAGTATACATGTCAGATTATACTTCAGCGATAGTATGAAGATGTTACTTTATCGTATCTCTTATACTATATCCGTTGGTTGTGCTGTTCTTTTTACATCTCTTTGCAGGTGATGAAGCAGACTGTAGATGTTTTATCGTTATCTCCCTTTTATCTTCCCTTTCTTTTATCTTTTCTCCTTTTTTTCTGCTTTTCCTTTGTTCTGTTCTATTCTGTTCTACATACATTGCAGTGCCCATATAATCTGTAAAACTACCTGCAGAAATTACAACAAAGCAATTTATATGCATAAGTCAGTAGTGTCATAAGACACTATGGCGAAAGCGCTACTGCTCCACTTGTGAAAGCAAAATCTGTTGGACTCTTTTTAGCATAAAGACAATTATTCTTATTGACACATTGCCAGACAGGAAATAGTAAAAAAAAAAAAGAAATTGGTTTAAGTGATTATCAGTTCAAGTTTATGTTCCAGCACATCATTTATTCATCTTCAAATTATTTTATAATATGTCTTCAGTACAGGATCCATGACAGGGGCCAGGACTAGTTCAACATGGGCACTGGCCCCTGTTGGCCCCTGTCTAGAAGCAATGTAAACAGACATATTCCATATATTACGGTACATAAAAACATATAATTTGTGTATATCTTTAGTAGCAAAGAAATGCAAAATAGTAACAGAAGCTCTTATGAGCTGCTTTGCTGTAATTTTCCACTGATGGAGAGATACTAATAATAGGTATTTCTAAACTGAGCTGGGTTGTCTTGTTAGGTAAGATTCATTAAATCCATGTCAGCCAGAAGGTAAAGGTGGAGCATCCTCAGTCAGCTGCGCTCAGCAGCAGATGGAGCCCTCACACCAGCGGCTCTCACTGATGAAAGTGAGACTTCCAGCGGAGTTTATGGGCAGTTTCACCGCCGACAAAAGCTTTCAGAGCGACTGAGGAAGAGGCGCACGAATGCAGGAGGCTTGCCGTGACGGCGGAGTCATTGTTTTCTATTTCAGGGGTTTAAAACAGGAGCTCCTCGCGCTGCAGCGGTTTGCTTTACAGTAACTGCGGCGCGTGCTCTGACGTTTGGAAATAGGCTTTTGATGATAGCACAGTGAACCGCGCGCGCTGCTTGTTACTGTAACGACCGGTTTATGGAGTAAAAACCCCTGAGAATGAAGAGGTATTTCTGACAGACGACGTCCACAGCCGCTGTCTGATGTCCTCCAGTCGACTTTGAAACCATTTCAAAATGCTTCGCTTCTGAACTTCACAGCACTTGAAAGGTAGGTGTTGTTTACACGCCAATGCTCTGTAAACAACTTTATAAAAGTTCCTCTGGAAAAAAAACAACAAAAAACTATAGTTCACTCTGCAAGTGAGTTGTTATTCCTGTTTATCACTAAATCACCGGCTTTCTGTGAAGTCTGGATATTATGAGATCTAAACGCTCTCACCAGCTCGTCTCATTATTTCCTTGTTTATCCATTATTATGTCATAATTTAACTAACTGTAACAAAAATCTCACTAATTGATGTGTTTTAATATAAAAGTCATTTTTTACTCTGTGGAGAGTTAGAGTCATAGAGAAAATCTATTTGCTGACCAATCAGAAAGGCTAACAGGTGTATTTCTTCTTCCCCAGAATAACACTGATAATCGTATTTAATACAATGACATTCAAAATCTCAGATATAGGTCTGATAAACACAGGGTGATTGTTTATTTGTTTATTTCTGTTCATTTGCGCAATTCCTGATGAATGGTTTCTCTGAGAATTATCCATTATAAAACCTCTAGCAAGGAATTTGTAAAGCAGAAGTATCATTATTTCATGCAAACATAACAGTTAACCATCAGACAGGAATGGACACCTTCAACAAGCAAGATAAAACATAGAAGGTACTTATAATAAGGAGAGCTGTGCTGTAATATGTTGATGGAAAGTTTAGTGGAAGGAAAAAGTGTGGGGGTCATAACATTAAAAGATGTTGCAGCTCTTGTAGTTCTCTCTTTAAGCCGTTCCTAAAACAGGGATTACGTGTGAAGCATCTTACCTGCAATACGAAAAAAAAAAAGGACTAGACTTTCATTTTTTTTTGTTTTTGTTTTGGAAAGCGTGGTCAAAGATTTTGAAGCAAGAGTGCTGAGGCATAGAGTCTTCTCTGGAGGTCAAAAGTCTTGTTTCCACAATCTGTGATGATTAAGGCATAACTTAAGGCTGATTTATACCCAGAAACCAGGTGGTCTGCATGTGTGTCAAAGTGAATGCAAATGTGCCCCCGCCCCTGCCGCAGACACTCTGCTGCATCTCTCCAAATTTGTAGATGACCGCAGACAGTGCCGCAGACAGGAGGCCTCTGATTGGTCAAATCTACATCCGCTCTACTCTATCCGTATTTTCTGTTTGGTATCTTATCGGCTTGTTCTGTTTGTATGACCACCATTGTGGAAAACGACTCATGAAGAAGAACCAGCTAGAAGAGGGAGGTGCGCGAGATCGCTCGGACCCTTTTTCCACCTGGATCCCCGCTCTTTTTCGCTCTGAGTGATGTCCCTCCGTTGTCAAATAAACTTCCTCCCACTTCCTCACCGTCGCGGCCGTATCTCGACCCACAGCTAGTTCATGATTGTCCCTCTTGCGTTGTGGCTTTAAATAACATAGCACAGACCACGCTTCAATATTGGGCATAAATCAAAATATCGGTCGACAAGCTCACTGTGACACACTGCTGCGGAAAGTATAAGCAACCTTTTACTCATGTCAGATTATTGCGTTGTATCAAGTTCATAGACAGTGCATCCATCACACAGTAGCATTGCATGCATTCTTCTGCTGACAGGCTTTATGAAAATGTCAGTTTCATTGTCCAAGGCGTGACCCACCACCTCCCAACACAGTCTAAAAGAGGGAGCTCTTTTAATGCCTATAGTGCCACCAATATGCTGTACAAAAATCTATAGGATATTGTAAAGGAGAAGATATGAGACACCAGATCTATGGAAACAAAATGCCAGAAAGGACAATATTGTTGTAAAAATTGGAGTGAATTGATCAGGAATGGTCTGTTGGTTATTCTTTATGGTTTTGTTTGTCCTTCAGAGAATATCACTTTTAGATGTGTATCAGTCATTTCTGATCCAGACCTCTATGGCCTTATGCACAAGGAAAGCCATAATAATTGCTGTCTGCATCTGTTGAGATCTGGAAAACCGTATTCTGTTCTGTTTTCCTTTACTCAGTTCATCCAGGTCATCTCTGTCTTAGAACAGATGAGGCCTTAAAGGCTTTAAAGCTGTTGCAGAGATACAGCTATGTTAGTTTTATCATCTCCATTCCAGATGAATCAGGACCACCTGAACTCCTCTTCCTCTTCTTTTTATCCTCCTCTCTGTCACATATTTATGTTGAATATATGTACAATCTACTAAATACATGTGTCTTTCTCTAAAGAATAGTTAATATCAGCTACCGACCACGCCTTAGGCTAACTACAGTAGTTGTTAGGTTTTCTATTTATACCTTTCTTATCGTTGAGTTGTGTGCAATCAGCATCCTTTGACTTTGTCTTGAGGTATGAAGCTGGGTTTCATTTCACATTCGAGTTATTTTTAAACATGCGGGATGGCTGTGTTTATTTTCTATATTTTCTTTTAATTAAAAAGTCAAATTGAAAGTGTTACATGACAATAGGTTTACATTTCTTTCACTTTTGTTTGTCCTTATTTGCTTGTTTGTCTATTTCTAAAACCACTGATAACACATTTTTGTTTGTGTCACAAAGTAACAATTCAAAGGTTCAGTTTTGAAGAAAAAACAGACACTTTTAAAGTTTTAGGTGTGTATTTGGCAGACTGGGAAATACTATATCTTACAATAGATTATTTTCTATGCTTTGAATGTTTTTTGCCTGTTTGTAACAAAAATATTGTGTTTTGCTACTTAAAGACAATCATATGTTGGCAAAAGTTAGTAGCTATGGGATTCAAAGTGTCCTAAATAGTTTTAGGGTAGCACAGCTTGTCTCTTCTGCAGAAGATAGCATTTTATCAAGATGAGCAGCATAAAGGATAACCAACATGGGTCATCTAAAAACCTACCCCAGCTAAGTCCAGTTTCAGCACAAAGCATTCAATGGGTGTTAAAGGCAAAAATCCATCAATATCCATTAGCATTGTAAACCCAGAAGCTTCTGATTTTCAAATTCCTGTTATTCTAACTGTAGTGTAACTCAGATTCAGTCCTTACAGAGATGTTTCTTTTTCTTTTTTTTTTTTTTGTTTATAGTCTGAGGCTTTTTTTTTTCTTTTTTTCTGTACAGATGACTAAGCTAACCGAAAAGGGACCGCCCACATTAAGGTTAAACATTTATTTTCAGCATCCTTGGTTTAACTCTTCAGTCATTTACTGATCAGCTGCAGAAAACACAATTTAAATGGCACATTTCCCAACCACGGACACCCTTCTTCTTTCATATATATATAGAAGGTTAAGACAAATATATTTTTTTGAATACACACAATTGTGCCCCACGGTTGTAGGAGGTAATGCCAATCTTTCTCCCAGAGAAGATAACCTTTAAAAGTCACCAGTGCTTTCCCCATGTTAGCCACATCAGTACTCTGACAATAGGTATAGTGTTCAGGACTGGCCAGAAGCCCAGATCACATTTCCTGTTCCTGATTTAAGATCAACTCAGCTGACTACTGATACGGTCTGCTCCTCAAAAACACAGCAAAAAGACCATCACTTAGCTGTTTATTATGTCTGTGTGTGTGAGAGAGAGAGAGGGGGGGCATAATGGTAATAGATAGTAAGAAAGAAAAGGCAGAAAAGTAAAAGGTATAATGGGAAATCGACAATCAGTCACTTAATCAAAACCACCAGTTAACACTGGCTAGCCCTGAAAGATAGTAACTTTATTCTCAGAGACTGCTGGGTGAATCTAAAACAAAGGGGCTCTTTTGTGTGTATAATCACTTTACCTTGCATGCAATAACAGTACTGCACTGTATACTGCCAAACCTGTAGGAAGACGTTAACATAAGAGCTATCCCTCCTCTTTGAAATTATCTCCATGTTCGGTGAGTTTAAATGCCAAAGGGTTCAGTATGTGAGCTAAATTTCATGTAGCATCTGTTAACCCTTTATAGGGTTTAAATTTCAAGCAAAGAGTACACTGGAAAAAAATAAACTCTAAGTAAGTCAGCTTTTCTTAAAATAAGTGCATTAATAAGTGCATTTTTTTCTTGATCTGAGCAGGTAAGTGAGATACTTTGCAAATGGAATAAGAACATTTACATTTAAAATAAGGGGGGAAAATGCAGTCTACTATATCAAGTGCATAATATCAAATAATCTGATTTAAAGGATAAAAATGCTCCTTCAACTGGGAGATATTCTTATTTACCCACTCAAATTAAGGGTAAATACACTTACTCTAAGACATTTTCACAAATTTATAGATCATTTTTGTAGTGTGTTATTAGAATCCAGGATAAGACCTTATTACCTTTGTAACGTTAAAAAAAGATGAATATTTTAATGGCATCAATGAATGTCAATGTATTAACAAGACACGCCAAATTGCCTGTATATATTAAGAAAAATAACAAAAGTGCTTCTATAAGAAATTCATGAAAAACACCCTGAGAGTAAAATAAATGGCACTCCATTTGTAAGGGGTATGCAAGTGATCAAAAATGGTAACTTGCCTATAAAGGGTTAATGTTCAGATCACAGAAAGATGGAGGATTTCCAAGAGCAGAGCTGAGATGCACAGGCCACTGACCGGAATCCTTGAGTGCTTAACTGAAGAACAGAAGCCACTTAGTCTTTTGTTCATGAAGGAAGTCGCTTGCTAGCTCCTGTCAGGCGAATTCTGGGCAAATTCCTTATTTGCATAATTCAGGATAATATTACTCTGATGCTGCCCAAACTGGAGGTTAAAATGGGTATTGTACAATTAGAGTTGATTAACTTTGACCCCAATACATGACATGAATAATTAGTATTTAAAGGGTATAAAGAGATAAGCCTGTAATGTCGTTGAACACAATGCAGTTTTACACACTCCAAAAACGATCTAGAAATAAGTAAAAAAAATATCTTAAATTCAGTTTATTTACCCTTAATTTGAGCAGGTAGATTAGATTATTTGCCAATGGAATTCGTTTTTTTTACTTAAAATAAAACAATTAGATAATATGCACTTGAAATAAGACAATGCAATTTTTCCTTATTTTAAATGTTTATTTTCTTGTTCTATTGGAAACATGTCTCAG